GATTCTCCTGCATGCGCAGAGCATGTGAGGATGGATTCCCCTGCATGTGCAGAGCAACTCTTGCTTGTTCTGCTGCTGGTGGATCCTGACAGAGGAGCAGGAGGACAGCACAAGATTGCGTTGCGCAGAAGGAAGAGGACGATTGCAATCAATGACTTCCCAGTAGGTACTGTATTTATTTGAACCAGCCGTGTTACAGGCACTGTCCAGAAAAATAAATTTACTGTATGTATTTGTGCATGTTACTGGTACATATTTAAAGTAAAAAAAAAATCAGTGTAAATATCTCATGTTACAACATGGATACCCACGGCTTACAGACAAGCGCAGCCTATACATGTACAAAATTATTATTTTATTTTATTTTTTATTTAGTGGGCATGGCTTATTTTTTGGGTACGCTCTATAGTCCAGAAATTACGGTGCAAATTACAATCTTGACATCCTACATAAAGAAATCTTAAAATTTGAGTTTAACTGGAAATTAGTTCTTAATATTTTTACTTTCTACACATTATACATTGAAATCTTGAGAAAAGTATTACTTGTGAAAAGCGCTGATCTTCTTAAGTGTTGCCAGAACCTGGTAGGAATCATCTTCATCTGGTTCTTCACCCTGACAAACAAGAGACAAAGCTCTGAAACCCCAGATATTCCCTTTGCTTTGGCGCCTGTCTGTGCTAAAATAGAATCACGTAACAAATAAAAACAATCACTTCATCACCGACCTCCTGCAGGAAGTCCTCCAGGAGTCTGTCGAACTTGTCTACCAGCTCATCGAGAAGCTGTGAGCGAGCGATGTTCACGCGGTTGAAGATGGTGAACTCATCATTGCAGAGGTAGTAGTAGGTGGTTGAACAGGCCTCGAGAACTTCAACATCTGTGTGCTTGTCCACAACCTCCCAGACTTGCCGCAGCAAGGCATCCAAATGCTAAATATATATAAAAAAAAGTTTTACTGACACTGACCAGAGTGCAAACTTAAAACAGAGTTAAAAATATCAATTAAAACCTCACAAACCTTTTCTAACCGGCCTGTAGTGTAGATGTCGAGATCAAAGTACTTTGGTATTTGTAGTAAATTGGTCACCTTATCAATATCAACACAGTACTAAAACAGGAAAAAGGTAAATTGTTAAGATTTATTAGGAGTCAAAACTTATTAACCTATAATGCAGAACAAATTAAATGCTACCTTCGCTAATAACAGAGGCAAAGCAACTGCAAACATTTCTGTGATCCTCGTCCGATCATCCAGCTGAGTTTTCTTTTCCTTTGCCGTCAGGACCTAATCCAAGCAGAAAAATCACAGCTACATTAACAAAAGTACCACATCTGGCACATCATATGCTCATCGACAAACTATTATACAGCATCACAACAATCTATAGCAATGGCTCGACAAGCAGAGACCTGGTAAAACCTTTGTCCTTAATTTGTGACCTTGATCTTGCTGGGATGGCAAAAAGATTACGCAACACGTTGTGTTGTAGTAATACAAGCGTGTATCAAATTTTGTTAAAATATCTTGAGCAGATCAGAAGTTATGGGTGGGACAAGAGAAAGTTTATGAACGTATGGAGACTATAATGTAATACATCCACCTTTTTTTTTCCATTCAACTTTTATTTAGACAGGTTAATCCTATTGAGCCTCAGGGACTCATTTACAAGAGAGACCTGAGACCACTGTAGGACGGGCACATAATAAAAATTAAATCATTCTATATCAAAGTAAATAACCTCTTAATATTAAGCCGTCTGACACCCACCCTCTTCCCTGTGCCTCTGCCTACAGGAGGGTGGCATTCACAGGCCTGCCGAATGGCACAGATCATGATCTCGACAAGAGCGGTCTCCTGCCGATCGGTCAGCGCTTTAAACAAAACAAATAAAGTCATAGCTACAAGCAAAGAGATTATTTTTATTTACAAAAGGGCTAGAATTTGAGCTACTGGTTCGTTACCCTCCTCTCCTGGCACGGCCTCATCCAGCAGCAGGCTAATCATGGTCTCCCAGTCCTTCAGCAGCTCCGAGGCACACTCCCACAAGCTATCCACCAAGTAGGCCCCATGCTCGTGGAGCTGTAAAGCATTAAATGTCAAATTCAATTAACTAAATACAACCCTCTACCAAAAAAAAACCCCTGAAATTACACAGAAACAAACCCTAAATGACTGGGGCTATGATAGGCCTTTCTGAGGCAAAGGTTTGAAGGAGTGGTCACCTCGCTCTCCAGGAAGAAGAAGACCGTGGTTTTAATGAGGCTGCCGTTGAGGCTCTGCCTGCCCCTCCGGGGTAATCCCTCCTCATCTGGACCTCGATGGCTGAAGAGCCTTCAATTAGCAAAAGAAAGATACTGTTAAAGTAACTAGTTCCGTACTTTATGCCGTACACGTCGCACCGCCGTATAAGTTGAAGCAGTCCAAAAACGTTTAATAAAGTGGAAAAAAAACATAAATAAGTTGCTTCACCGTATAAGTCGCATCTATTATGAGTCACCGCTGACAACCCCGAAACGTGGACCGGTGTTGTGTCAAGAATCGATTGGCTGCCAAATGGCATGGGAGCGTGCACGGGAGGACTTTAACAAGAATTTAATAAGGTTAACACTTAAAAACATTTATTTGTTTGCTCGAAATTATAGCAAAGGTGTGTCTCAGTTTAACTTTTCCTTAATAAATGCAATTTAATGGTCAAATCAGCTGCATTTCGCCTGGGTGGCGCAGCAAAATGAAGCTAATTTCACGTTTGCTCCAGGAGTTCTGGAGCGAGACGAAGTGGCTTGTATGGCAAGGCAAGTGTCTCATTAATGGCCACTTTTACCTATTAATGAGGCACTTGGCTTGCCATATTACTTGACTGCTCTCTAGTGGCTGAAAATGGTAGTGCTCAATATTTTTAATGTCAGAATGAATGAAATCGTCAATCTCTGCCAAAAATTTATTTATAAATATGGGAGAATAAAACAAATATGTTGCTTCGCTGTATAAGTCACAGGGCATGCCAATTCATGCAAAAAGGTGCAGCTTATACAGCAAAAAAATGTGGTAGTAAAGTTTCTGTTCCCTTCTGCCACAGGGGTCGCCACAGCGAGCAAACTCATATGAAACGTTTGGCAATTGTTTTACGGTGCATGCCCTTCTTGACACAGTCTGGGTTCGAACCTGCAACCTGAGGATTACAAGACCGGCGCAGACTGATCACCAAGCTATCGCAGCCCTGTTAAAGTAAATGGTACTAATAGGTAAAACTATATCTGTAGTTCTACTGTGATTGCTACAACCCAAAGTAATATATTAAAAAAAAAACATTTTATGTCTGACTTTAAAAGACAGAGTTATTTGGACATAAATTCACTTTATTAAAAATAAATTTGAGAAAAGCATGTACCCTGATATGCTGAGGGATGAAATCAGAGCAACACATTGTACACAATAAGTTGTGTGTACTGTAGTAATTTCTTAGCAAACTTTTTAAGAGAATTAGAGTCCCTGCAGCAGGTTAATATAGCTGCTGTAAGAAATGTGTGAATCTAACTAAAACTGACGTATTCCACAAATGACAAAGTTACAAATATTTCATATTAAACTCTCAACACAGACGATACAAAAAAAAATGTGTGTAATATTCCTGCAAGCCCTTTTATTTGAGTAATTTAATCTAAAAGTTCAATCTAAACTAGACTTTGGTGAATCTAAAAACCTCTTCACAAACTATTATTAAATAAAAATCAACGAAACGTTGGAGCTCATTACTGGTGTTTTCGTTGTTTGTTCCACACGACTCACTTCTTAAACAGAAACTCTCCTGCTGAGACAGCGATGGGTCGGTGTGCCGAGTAAACCAGATGGTACACGCTTTCACAATCCTCTGCAGTCAGAACCTCATCGCTGCTTCTAACAAACAAAATGCACAAACTTTCACTGACGAATAACAAACTTTGTTGTACGTTCTCCGACAACATTTTATAGGTTTTAGATAAATATATATACCGTAGTTTTCAGACTATAAGCCACCACCTTTTTCACAGGCTTTGAACCCTGCAGCTTATACAATTCTGTGGCTAACTTATGGATTTATTTATTTTTTGACAGGCTAACGAGCTTTATACCACCAAAACATTTATCCTCGTCACACCCGGAGGCTCACATAGCTGCCCAATACACGTCTCTCTTGGGGGTGGGTCCTCATGACTCAATGAGACAACCTGTATAAAGGTTAAAAAAATAAAAATCTGACCAATGAAATTACCAAACAGGTCTCAGTGGACCAATGAAACTTGGGTTTCACTGGTCCACTGAGACCCCCATGCTCCTGTTCTTTTCTCCCGTCCCCGTTGTCCCCAGAGAGAGGGGAAACGTGATGAAGAGGACAGCACAAGCTCATGGGCGTAGTGGCAAGAAGAAAATGTAAATCCAGTTTATTTATATAGCGCCAAGTCGCAACAGAAGTAATCTCAGGGCACAAGATGAAGATAGCGATCAATGACTTCCTGGTAGGCTACTGTTTTTTGTTTTTTTTTAATCAGCCGTGTTACCGGCGCTGTTCAGGAAAAAAAAAAAACAGTAAAAAATGTATTTAATTAAAAGTTAAAAAATACATTTCTGTGTAAATATCCTATGTTGCAATGTGGACACCCGCAGCTTAAACATATGCAGCCTATATATGTTCAAATTTTTTTTTTTTTCTGGTGCGGCTTATATTCAGGTGCACTCACTAGTCCGTAAATTATGGTATATAGTAAATTTTAATAAAAACACTTAATGCTGTAATGAAAATTTACATCTGTAATACAAAACTCTTAAAATCTAAGATTTGCAAAAATATTTGTTTTTTAAATTAAGGTGACTTTATGTTTTGTTTTTCAGAAACCGCACAGTGATAAAAGGTTACATGTAAACAGATTTATGCAGGGGGGTGGGGGGGTGGTGGACACTTACTGTAAAATAAGAGTCAGAAGTTTTATAGCCTGCACTGCAACATCATACTCTTTGTCCAGAGTCATAGACACAATGCGATCCTGTCAAACATAAGACATTGGTGTTTAAGACCTGTCCTATTACCTTAAATATGACTAATAAGTCAAACGATATAAAATACATTTTTATGCATATAAAGAAAAAAAACTGGGATCAATCAATGGCTCACCTTGAAGCGACTCGTGAAGAGCTCCAGTCGTGCACCGAGCTCTCTGCTGTAGTACAGACCCTGCAGGGCAGTCAGGCACTTCAGCCGCACCTCGCCTTGCTGCAGTCACAGATAAAAGTAGAAACATTTCTATTTAAAAGTAAAAAATCAGAACGTATTTATCACCCTGACTCTCTATGTACTAACAAGTACACAAAACATTTAGCTGTTCCATCAACCATTTCCCTACAGTGCTCCCTCCACTGCACAAACACAAAATCCTGCTCGTTTTACTTTGTTCTTGTGTTACGCATCTTTTTGCTCACCTTGTCGTGCATCGTCCAGCCAACATACTTCAGGTAACTGTCGTTGAGGAAGGCGTCACTGTACAGCTTCATCCACACTCCGATCTCCTCGATACAAATGGCTCGGATTTCAGCGATGGCGTCACTGAGAAACACAAAAATTGAATCAGTTCAGCCATTAAGCTCATGAGAAGGACTTTAAAGTCAAATTGAAGAAAAACCTTCCCTTATTCCCAAAGGAAAATACAAACAAAATATGAAAATTAGAAATGTCCAACTTGTTAGGTCTTAAATTGTGGATGTGTAATTGACAACTTCTTGCCACTAGAGGGAGCCACAACACTGCACAGGTTACAGGTTTTCAACAGGCCAGAGCTTCATCATGAAGTGAAGTGATGATTTACTTACCGATATCTGTGAACAAACACGCCCTTGAAAATTGCGTTCATCATGTTTTCAATTTCATCTTGATTTTCTTGAAGCTGAAAAAACACCAAGAAAGAGTTTAGGCCGACTCAATTCCTGCTTTTAAATCCTCTCTTTAAACACTTTTTTTCTTTTTGGCTTTTAAAACTGTTTGAAATATTTTACTATTTTTATTGTTTTAAATGGTTAGATTATCTTTTTTTTTTTTTTGTATTTGTATGCATTTTGAATTCTTGTGTTGGTTTTATCAGTGTACAGCACTTTGGACAACTGGGTTGTTTCCATAGTGTTTTATAAATAAAGTTGTTTTGTTTTGTACTTCACTTAAAAAGGTCAAACAAAAGTTTCCATTCTTCTAACATTTTTTCAGTCAGGTCATCGGGACAGTTTCTTTTTTTCGTGCTGAAACGTTTCACCTTCGATCCGGAAGGCTTCATCAGTCAAGGAAACGCACAACAAAACTGATTCTTCCTCCAACAGCTTATTCCAAAGTGGAACAAACCAGTTGGTTTGTTGAAGCCTTCTGGATGGAAGGCGAAACGTTTCAGCACAAATAAAAGAAACTGTCCAGATGACCTGACTGAAAAATGTTGGATTTTATACCTGGATTATTGAGCATGGACTTTGTTGTTTTCAACCAGTTTGACAAGACTGTCAACAAGGAAGAGGGCCGCAATGGAGGAGGGGGCGTGCCAAAGAGACCATCTTATCACAAGCAGAAGTGGTTTGTTCCACTTTGGAATAAGCTGTTGGGGGAAGAATCAGTTTTGTTGTGTGTTTCCTTGACTGATGAAGCCTTCCGGATCGAAGGTGAAACGTTTCAGCACAAAAAAAAAGAAACTGTCCAGATGACCTGACTGAAAAATGTTGGATTTTATACCTGGATTATTGAGCATGGACTTTGTTGTTTCCATTCTTCTGTCTCAAAGTAAGGCTTGTAAGAAAAAAAAAAAAACTTGAGCTCCTTTTACGGCATTTTAACATTTGGGAATGGTAATCTCTGCCTCAACAAACACTTTTAATATAAAAAAAATTAAACTTCTTCTGAAAATATGCAACTTAAAACCAATTTAAAAGAAGCACAACCTCCACATACTGTGGTAGCTTAAAAAACAATTCCATTAAGAAAATCTAAAAGGTTTATCTTCAGATCGTGCACTGCACATGGAGGTTTCTGTTGTGTTTGATTTGTAACAAATGCGATCACCCAGAGAACCCAAGAACAATTAAGCCCAAATCAATATAAGAAATACATAAAACTATAAAAAATAATAAATATTTGCTTGTAAATATATATGTAATTTAGATGTGCTTTTATTTATTTCTCCATGTCATCTTTAAGCAAATTATGGTCTTTGCCTTTTGACAGTATGTTGTAAATGTAAATACAGCAGTCCCTCGATATTTCACGGTCCTTTTCTGTGGATTTGCTACATCGCGGTTTTTCAAAATAAGATAGGACATGACACAATTGGCTGATTGATGGATGAGCCATGGGTTGTTTATTAAAAATAAATTATTTTAAATGTTTTTGCACCTGTGTGCAGCCCATAAGTGCAGGGGGAAGCTCCCTCCTGCAGCCTGTCATGATCTCCGCTCTGCCACACACACATTTCTCCCGCTGCGGCTTTGTGAAGGGTTAACCCTTTGCTGCACCGATCCACTTTTGTCTTCCAACTTAAAATTGAAAGTATGTCACATCGTAAAAATCGTCATAATTACAAAATAGAAAAAAGTGTTACAAAGTTATTTTTAATTATTTTAGAACTTCTATGTTCAGTTGTTTCAGTGTAATTGATCAAGAAGTACATTTCTGCTCCGTGCTGCAGAGCTGAATGAAGGGTTAACCTTTTGATGTCCTGCTGCACTTCTCTACAATTTAAATACTGTAATATTTTAAATAAACAATCTAGATTGGTTATTTAAAATGTTACAGTATTTAAATTTATTTATTTTTATTTAAGGAGGGAGATTGGGAGTAACAGGTGATGAGTGTGATTGCACCCTGGTACATGTCATGACAAAGTTTACTGAACTGGAACTACTGTATCCCTACTTCGTGGTTTTTCACATATCGTGTGTGTGTGTGTGTGTGTGTGGGGGTCCCTAACACCTGCGATAAAAGAGGGACTACTGAATATTTTTTCACACTGAAGATTTCAGCATTTAGCAACATTTTATGGTTTGCTTTGGGATTTTTGTTCAGTTAATTGTGCTGACAGTACTAAAAACTAATTATTGTGAATTCATCTATTTTTAAGCATTAAAATTACAAGTCTCGTTACAGTGCTAATCTCTAATGAATTATTAATTTCAATCGGATAAAGTAGCTCTAGCTCACAAGACGTTTGTTAACTTGGTGGATACGTACTAAAACACAAATCTATATTTTTTTAAGACTTACTTCACAAATTGTTAAAGAATAGAAGGTCAATTTCACTGTGGTTCTAAATAAAAAAGTTTTTTTCCCTTGAGTGCATCAAAATATAGAACAAATAGCAAATTAAATATACTGATACTATACTGCAATTGTGCTTCCAAATATCACACAGATAAAAAGAGAACGTGAAGTTACATTTTCTCCAGAGTGTAAATCTAAAGACACCTGGTCGAATATGACGGGCATCCAGAGGATGTGTCAGACCCAGAAACATTAAATAATATTACAGCCTCACACACGCACGCACGCACGCACACACACAGTCAGTTGTCAGAATGAAAGGATTTTCACAATTATTCATTTGAGGCTGTACAGAAATATTTTTTAAAAATATATGTTCTAAAACCATCCAAACTGTTACACACAAAGTTAAGTCTTTTGGTGTTTTTAAGGCAGAATTGGAGTAAAAAAAAACAAAAACATATTTAATTCAATTCAATTCATTTATAATTAGGTTGAAATCATTTTCACCATACTGTCCATCAACAGAAACAGACACACAGATGAGAGGTTCTATCTACAATAATATTAAAAGTTAAACAGTTATTACTGTTTATTGTGGCGCTAATTTGAAGTTATTTGTAGTTGCTGCTGAAAAGTCTCAAGAAAATCCAGATTTACGACAAATACAACAGTCTGACGTTGCAGAGTATTGGATGTGTAACGTCTCACCTCTTTCCTCTTCTGTAACAACAGCTCCAGCCTATCGTTGGCTCTTTTCGCAACGACTTTGTTCCTTTCCGCCTCGTATTGTCTCTGTGTGTTGTCCATGTTGATGCTGAGGTTCAGAGCGACGTTCACCAAGGCCGTCATCAGCTTCATGGCTGGTGAAGACAGCAGGTTTGACATACGAGCGTCAAAGCCATGCCAACGTGACTACGCAGCATAAAAAGCACAGCATCGCATTAAACTGACCTGCTAGTGTGCTCGTATGTCTAAATGCTCTGACCTGTGAGTCAGACAGGCCAGTGAGTAGTGAGATGATTGTGTCCATCATGTACTCGTCGTAAATGATGCTGTATTGGCACTGCCGCACCAGGACCGCGATGAAGTCACAGAAGTTTATCCTGAATCTCTTCCACTGTGGTCCTGAGAGCGTTAGTGGATAATCGCCGCTGTCCTGGTCGATAACAATGAGAAACGATCAGATATGGGGCAGAATAATCACACACATTCATCCTGTTAAAAGCCTGCTACAAAAAAAAAATCTTAATCTGGCATCTGGTAAGTATCCAGATTTAGGTGTAGTTGCATCCAACAAGCTATATGATTTTATTTAATCACCTCGTCAAACTCCTCTGTCATTTTTCGGATGATTTCAGAATTCTGCATATGTCTGAACATCTCTCCGCTCACAGCACCTGCATGAGGAAACGCACCATTTGCACAAAAGTCATCCCACAGGTAGAATTAGAGCCACAGAAAGTACTTCACCACTGGGTCAGATACCTTTACATCCAGAGCACTGAATGAAGAAGTTGATCAGGCCCAAGAGGGCGCTGTCCCGGTCTTGTTTGTAGGTCTCAATCCAGTCGTCAACAACAGACTAGAAATAAATCAGAACATTTTACAAATGTACTTCGTCCCTACATCAAACTATGATACAAGATTAGATTTTAAAAAAGCTTTTAAAGCATATGATCAAACTATCACCAAAGCACTGCTGACAGACTGGACCCCATTATGGCTGAATCAACTTTCAAAACAAGCCAGGCCACCATTAAATCACCCGTATAAACAACTTCACGCCAGTTGTACCAGAGTAAATGAGCTGGGTGCACTCACCTGTGTGGCACTCCTTCCTATTTTAACCACTTCAAACAAGCTCATATTCTCCGTCCCGTTCTCCTGATGATGGCCATTCAGCCAGCCGGTACCAGGGAGCCTTCCTGTTCCCGCACCTTTGGCCTTATCTCCCAGCGCCTTCCTTCCCCTCTTTGCTGCCTGTTGAGGAGAAGGATGGTAAATAATAAACGAAACACTTCTGGGTTTTGATAACGGTGAGAACCGTAGCAGACAGTAGAAAAGCCTGATCCGGTTATTGGAAATCTAAATTAATTCACAGTGGGAGAGCTCTTTCACATGGATCAGCACTTCTTCTGAGTTCTCCACCTTGAATTCAGAAATAATTTAAGTTTATCTAAAAAAGTTAAGTCTGGTCCTCTGGACATTCAAAAAAACAAAATTTTTGAATGTCCAGAGGACCAGACTTAACTTTTTTAGATTTTTCTACCTGGATTATTGAGCATGTATCAGGAAATTTAAGTTTATGTTTTGCTTATTAGTTTTATAATTGGGAAGATTTATTTATAATGTGTGCAGCTTTTCTCACTGTGATAAACCTTTTTTTTGTGGGGGTGGGGTGTCCAGAATGACAGTTTATTAGTTGGCAGCAAGAAGGTCCTGGGTTTGGACCTGGGGTCTTTCTGTGTGCAGCTTGCATGGCGTCCTCGTGTTTGTGTGGGTTTTCTCCGGGTACTCCAGTTTCCACCCAAAAACATGCATGTTGGCTGCTATCAGGTCCAGGCCTCCCTTGCAAAAGGGATCTGTGATCTCAATGGGATTTGACTGGTTAAATAAAAGTTAATACAAAATAAATAAATAAATATGTTTTTGCTTTGTTGCAGCATTTTTGAACCAATGATCAAATATGACAAAAACATTTGTTTTTGCTTTAATTCTGTCAAATGTGTCCAGTTGCCTATTATCAGTCTTGCAGCTTTTAATGTTTAAGTACTTTCAGTGACAAGAAAGTCCATGAATTTTAAACATTAAAACCCTCATAATGTGAATATTCACGAGTCAAAATGTGATTACAGAGATACAACCGTGTTTTTGCCTTCATATAATTTTGTTATACATTCATAAGAGGAATATATATTTTTTTATTATAGTGCAAGTACCGTATTTTTCACCGTATAGGTTGCACTTTTTTGCATAAATTTTCAAGTCCTGCGACTTATACAGCAAAGCGACTAATATGTTTTTCCCATATTTATAACTAGGGATGCACCGATCCACATTTTTTACTTCTGATCCGATCCCGATACCTAAATCTAAATATACCGATCCAGTTCCGATATCATGATCATCATTGATTTTATATGAGGCTGTAATAATCTCCTCTCAAGTACAATTTGTACAAATATATGCATGCATGTCCAAAAAGGCAACTTGAGGTAAGTTTTATTAATGTTGGATAAATTTTTAAGTTAGAATTAAATTCTGCTAACACAAAACATGTTTCTTTTTAATCCTAGCTTTAAAGTGATTAATTTAAGTGAATGTTTAAAGTTATTTTATATTTTTTAAATAAGGGGCAGATATAAGATTTTTCTTCTTTCCGCACTCTTTTCATTCAATGTGTTCTTTTTGATGAATTTGTTTTGTTTCTTTTAAATGAATGAATAAAATAATTAAATAAAATAAAATGTTAAATGGCTCTAAACATCTGCTAAGTCCATGTCATAAACCAACAGGCATGTTCCTGTTTTTAGTTATTTACATCACTTTATAATGTAGCCGTTTTTGTTTCGTTTATATATATATATATATATATATATACACACATATATATATATATATATATATACACATATATAATTTTCTTGTAATTTTCAAATCATATTTTTTTATGATTGTCTACTGTTGTACTGATAAATATCTCTTGGAGGGTAAACTATATCTTGGCTGCAAGTATCAAGCTGCAAAATCCTTAGTTTTTTACAGCTGATAGTGGTTGGACATTAATTATGATGAAGTTTAGCAACTTCTCGGTAAACATTCCAGCTCCGGGGCTTCAGCGATGTGTTTTTCTTGTTCAATCCGAAGCAAGCAGTCTGATCTCGGTAAGCTACGCTCAGTCTGTCCCTCCTCAGAGACTGACACAGAGCGGGTCAGACTGAGCGTGGCTGACCGAAATCAGACTGCCTTCTCCGGACTGAACAAAAATAACAGACCGCTAAAGCCCCGGAGCTCGAATGTCCATCGTAAAACAAACTTTACGACGGTTTAATGTGGCGCTATGGCTCTGCAGACATTGCACGTTGCCGTCTTGTTTTGTGGTGTTTAGTGTAAAATACTTCCACACAGCGGACATGTTTAGATGAAAAGTTTGTTAGCTGTTAGCCACAGTGCTACTAACTCAGTCTTCACGTTGTAGCTGGCTGCAAACTATGAAATGGGTTTCCTGAATGTGAGACGGGTCTTATTACTCTGGGTTCATGAGACACGCCTCTGTTCAGGAACTCCATTCCATAGCTTGAAGCCAACGTGCAGCGCAACTACAGACATGCATCATGGATCGGAAATATCGGCAGGTTGAATCGGAAAATCCGATATGTAAATTATGCTGGTATCGGAGCCCGATACTGAAACTGGATCGAATCGGCCCCTTCCCTATTTATAATGTTTTGGCTGAGATCTGACGATTTCATTCATTCTGACATGAAAAATGTTCAACACTACCATTTTCAGTCGCTAGAGGGCCTTCGACTAATTTGGCAAGCCAAGAGTCTCATTAATAAGTAAAAGTGGCTATTAATGAGACACTTGGCTTGCCATACAAAGCCACCTTCGTCTCGCCCCGGAACACCTTAAGCAAACATCAAATCAGCTAAATTTCACCACGCTGCCCAGGTGAAATGCAGCTGATTAGACCATTAAAGTGCATTTATTAAAGAAAAGTTTAACCGAGACACACCTTTACTATAAAGCCCAGCAAACAAATAATTGTTTTAGGTGGTTATCTTGTTGAATTTCGACGAAATACACAGTGAGTCGTCCCTCTGTTCGGTCCCGCTTCCGCAAATCGATTTTTGAAATGCAGCTGATTTGACCATTAAAGTGCATCTATTAAGGAAAAGTTAAACTGAGACACACCTTTGCTATAATTTCGAGCAAAGTAATAATTGTTTTTAAGTGTTAATCTTATTAAATTCTTGTTAAAGTCCTCCCGTGCACGCTCCCGCGGCCGCCATTTGGCAGCCAACTGATTTTTGGCACAACACTGGCCCACATTTCCAGATGGTCAACGGTGACGCATAATAGATGTGACTTATAAGGCGAAACAACGTATTTATAGTATGATTGTTTTTTTCACGTTATTAGACATTTGGACTGACACCACTTATATGGCGGTGCGACGTGTACAGCAGCAAGTACAATAGTCCTTTGCAATTTACAAAATAACAAACATCTCCATTTATATTTGCCAGACTGATAGATTTCTACATTAAAATGACCTTATCAGACTCAAGTGGATTCTGGGGTGGGTGCAGGGGTAATGATATATGCTTTTGGTGTCGCCATCGGCCACAGAATTGGTCATGTACGACCATGTATGGACATTTATTAATTTAATAAATGCCATTATCTTTATGGAAGGGCGGGCTGCCCTTTTTAGATAATGGTAGAGGAAACGCTGCAGATGACATTTGGTACAGTGCTCAAATAATCTATTTATTTCTAAACAAAAGAAGAAGCATCACATCATCTCTTGGCTCTGTTGAGTTCTGGTAAACATTTAATTTTGGAACCCCCCACCCCCACGCCAGTAAGCTTTCAGCTCATAAACAGCTATATAGAACTAAAAAAAAATTACCATTCCTCTTCCTGCTCTTGCATTTCTTCCATCAGGATCCTCAAGGTCAGTATCTGAAGATAACTGAGATTCTGCATCTCTGTGTAAAACAAATAAAGTCATTTTAGCTGCAAAAAAGCAGGTTAAATAAACATAAATAAACAGTCACAGACAAGATTAAATTGTAATAAATGTGTGTGATTAAGTGCATACTGAGGAAACTGAAACTCTGCGTGCAAATCCTGCGCTGCTATCATTTCTTCAACATTTTCTGAACCGCTGAAGAAGGAACTCGAAACCTCTCCGGACCCTCAGGAAACAATTTCTTCGCCGACACCTGAACATTTAAACAAATCAGATACATTTACAGATTAATCAGAGTACTGTCAATTATAAAACACAAACTGTTTGAAATTGAATTGACGATGCCAGAGGCTGCTGCAAATATTCAGCAAATATAATTACGTTGACCATAACAACTCATAAACAGATTTTTTTAATCTTATGTTTGAGTAACAAGTTTTTCTTCCATGCTTTTATTCTGTATTGCGTATGTCAGACAAGATCCTGTTGGCTCTGTCTGAACTACAGCTACACTTTCTCACCATCCTGCTGTAAAAACAGAATGTGCAGCTGCAGAAGTGTCCAGATAGCATAGAAAAGTTTTCCAAGGCTAAAAGGAACTTTAAGTACAGTATATGTTCTGCAATGTTGTTTTTTTTGGTTTAGGAGCAGCAGCAGAAAAGCACTGTACCAAGGAGGTATGAGACAGAAGCAGGACACACATGACTGCAAGTTATTTTATTAACTGCTAAACGTGCACTATAAATTTAACGCTGTGTCAGACTGGTATGAAGAGTTGTGTCCCTAGTTGAGATCTAACTCCCCGGCAGCTTAGCTCTGTTTCCCAATTCATCTCTGTTGTTTTAAACAACATTTTAAGTAAAACGCTTAAGAAAAAGATTTGTTGCAGCAGGGAAACCACTTCCTGATGGCTGGACAACCATCTCAACAGGAGAACACATCCGAGCACAACATCCGACACCCAGCCATCCAACACACGTGTTGTAACCCCATTTCAAATGCATTTGTGTAAATAAAGTTACAGCTAAATTGAAAACATTTAATCTAGCCTATTTAATTTACAATACACACTAAGCTTAGCACAAATGCAAGAAAATTAATGTTTGATCATTTATTTGTGTAACAATGCTCCTTAGTAATAAATCTTGTACTGATGGAAAGCCTCTTCGTTTCTTCTTAAATGGTGCCACATCTGTCAGGAAAAAGCATTTGTAGGTTGAGCAGCACAGCTGAGCATGTACTGTAGGTTTCACACATGAAAAGCGTTCCAAATGGTCTTCTTTGCCAGTGGTGCTGACAATCAGGTGTCTGGTCCTCAGCACCTGTAAGCATGGACCCTGCTGTCAGTTGGTGTCTGCAACACCAAGGAAGCCATTTTTGACTACCAGTATATAAAACCTGTACTATAGGAGAACTTCACGCTGGTGTTCCGTAAAACCAAGTTGCAGCTTTATTTGGAGTGAGCCCTAGTCCCATCTCCAAGTTGGAGGCCAAGTTCCATAGAACATTGAATGTTAGAGACAGGCCATGAAGTGTGTCCCAGGAGCTGAGATTCTACAACCAGCAGCAACCCCATATCTCCACAGTCTGGAACCAAAGTCTATGCTCCAAGAAGACAATGATTGTCCCCAGAATACCTTATCAGATTATACCTCAAGAATTTGGGAGTGGTGAAGATGGAATGACCTGCTTGCAGTCCTGACCTCAACCCCATTGAACACCTGTGAGATCAGCTTGGACATGCCGTTTGTTTCAGATTGACCAACACAACCACAGTGGCTGACTTGAGATAAGACTGGTTGGAAATGGGATGCCGCATATTGGTAGAAGGATGTTAGAAATGCAGCTGCCAGGAAAAATACAAAGAGGAGATTTATGGATGCGGTTAGAGAGGACATGGAGGTAGTTGGAGTGAGGACAGAGGATGCAGAGGACAGAGTGAGGAGGAGGAGGATGACTCGCTGTGGTGACCCCTGAAGAGGGAAAAGCCAAAAGAAGAAGAAGTTTGATGCAGTTACAACAGTATCCTCGCAACATGCTGAATATTCAGGCTTTTTATTTTAGACACAAAAATAAGAGCTTAATTGCTTTTATTTTTTCATGATGGAGATTAAATGTAAATACCAAGGTAAACATATATTTTGTAAACTTTCTTTTGCGAGGTTTTGCCTATCTTTAATGTTGTAGTTAACTGTAAATACTAAAGTTAACTCAATAAAGTTAACATAAATAAGTCAAGTAAGATAATGTTAAAGACAAAAGCCACAATAAAAACAAGTACACACACAAAAAAGAAAGAAACATGGTAATGTAATGTGTAATGACAGTGTAATGCTAGAAGGCAGTTTTGTTTTGTTTTTTTCAGAGTTTGGGAGCCTTGACTGAAAAAGTCGATCAGACCTGAGCTTCAGTCTAGCTTTCAAAATGACCAAAAGCAACATAGATGATGTCAGGACATGCAAAGGAGCATAAGGTTGAAGCAAGTCCGATAAGGAGCAAACTTATTATTTTGTATATCTACAAACCGGATTCCAAAAAAGTTGGGACACTAAACAAATTGTGAATAAAAACTGAATGCAATGATGTGGAGATGGCAAATGTCAACATTTTATTCGTAAATAGCATAGATGACAGATCAAAAGTTTAATCTGAGTAAATGTAACATTTTAAAGGAAAAATATGTTGATTCAAAATTTCAGTGTCAACAAATCCCAAAAAAGTTGGGACAAGTAGCAATAAGTGGCTGGAAAAAGGAAATTGAGCATATAACGAACTGCTGGAAGACCAATTAACACTAATTAGGTCAATTGACAACATGATTGGGTATAAAAAGTGCTTCTCAGAGTGTCAGTGTTTCTCAGAAGCCAAGATGGTAAGAGGATCACCAATTCCACCATTGTTGCGCAGAAAGATAGTGCAGCAATACCTGAATGTGTAAGAGTACCACTGCCTGCAGCTCCTCCTCCAAGATGGCCGCTAATTAATCACACCTGACGGGCATCAGACTGAGGAGGCTCTCCTACTACAAAAGGCTGCAGTCCAGTG